CTTGCGCGCCTGGGTTTGGCCACCTCGCGTCCCCCCCTCAAGCCGCGCACGAGAGCTCACTCTTGCCTAGGGTCACTCGCGTGTAGCCGAAAAGCTGGTTTCCCCCTATCGGATCTTCGACGAGTGCTCAGAATCTGTTTGATCTACGGAACACTCGAACCCCTATTCGTAGATTCGGCTATAAAACCAAGTTTGAGGTACAGTGGGGACCCGTGCCAAGAAGCACCCTGCTTGTCTCCGGGGCGACCTCGGTTTCTTGAGTTCAGATGCTCTTGCTGTGGGCTAAGCGTGACGTGCCCACACCAAAAACCAATGGACGCCCTGGGGTCTCAGGGTCGGGTCTCTTGTGGAAGGTCCCTTGTGGTCGGGCCCCTACGGTGGGGGCGTTCGTGAAGGAATGTGCCCGGGGGGGCGTCAGACCCCGGGGGATTCCTTTTCTGATGAGGTCGGCAGTGAAAGCCATGGCCAATCCACGATTGGTGCTCCACCAGCTTCCAGACCCTGGCGCTGCGCGGAGTGGCCGGGCGCTGCGCGGAGTGGCTGCGTGAGCAGGGCTGCGTGACGCTGTGGACCCCAGCCCCGTGGGGCCGCGAGGCGCGTGGAGATGAGCGCGCTCCCCTTGGGTGGTCCTGGGGGGCGCCGCGGGCGCTGTGCAAGCGCTGCTCGGTTGGCGCTGTGTGTTGCGGAGTTCGAGGCTCGCACGGGCTTCGGCCCTCAAAGAGTTACACAATGCCTTCGCCGTGCTGCACCTCGACTCTGTGGTCGGTCCCCTCCTCGACAGCTGCGATCGGTGTGCCGCACCTCGGGCGGAGGGCGCCTCGAGGGCCTCGCGGCGGCCCGGCGCGCCGCGGCCCTGCCCGGGAGATCCGACGCTCCAGCAAGAAGTGCCCGTGTTTTCAGCCTCGGGGGGCCCAGGCCGGCCCTTGCGCTGAGAACAAAGTCACGACGGGGAGCTGTTCGCTAGTTTTGAGTCGGGCGGGTCCCTCTACAGGAGGATCATTCTAAAACGTAGCTGATAAATAGTATGGGGATTCTGTTTTGGATATGTTGGAGCGTTTTTGGGTATCTTGTTTGACACTGTTTTGCGTTTCGTCCAAAATCGGCCTGTAGGGGGACAGGTCCGGCTTAACGCTAGTTTCGGCCTCCGGGGCGCTCGCCGGGCCCGTTTAACCGACCCCAGCCCCATCCTCATCCCCTTCGAGACCCCCACCAAAGTACCACCCCAGTTGGGGATACTCCCCTCGAAACCCGAATGGAACGGCCCATATCCCCATCTAGGGGGGTAAATCGACCAGTGGGGCCCGGGCCACGCAGCTGGGGATTGGGATCGGTTACACGATGCTCACAAGGACCAGACCTGGGGAAGTGGTCCAGACCTCCGGGGGCCCTCGTGTGGCCGGGGACGTCGACCGCCTGCGTGCACGCCCGACTGCCCAGCGCGTGGTCTCCGCGAGCTTCCCACGTGTGCCCTGCGCGTGGCCTCGTCGCGATATTTCGTTTCTCTTTCGGCTGTCCCCAGAACTCTGACGCTCCAGATGCCGCCCCTCCCCCTCTGCGTCCCCATCCTTCCCTCGCAGGCCAGAGAAGCACACAGTGTGGCGTACGCTTCGGGCCTCCGCCCACCCTCTCCGCGCCAGAAGAACTGCCTCGAGCACTCCGTCTGGAACCTCCTGCATGTTGCTTCGGCCCTGTCTCGAATACTCGGCGCCACGGCGCGTACGTGAGCGCCCGTCCGTCCGTCCGTGTACTGTCCTCAAGGTTTTTGTTGCATACCGCGCCCTGCCCGCCCCAGTCGGACTCCACCGCACGGGGCCACTTTCAGCATACAAGACCCACGCCCCAGGGAGGGAACTGTGCATACCAGGCCCACGACCAGGACACTCGCCCGCACCTCAGGGCTCTCGGGCATAGCGTACGAATTGTTCGGGCGGACACTGGAAGCGCACGCCGTGACGTGGCTGTCCTGGGCGAGCGCCTGCGAGGCCCCGTGCCGTTCCGGCAGCCGGCCCTCGCGTGGCCGGGGACGCCGACCGTCCGCGTGCGTGCCCAGATCTGCCCAGCGCGTGGCCCCCACGTGTTTCCCACACGTGTGCCCTGCGCGTGGCCTCGTCGCGACGTGACCCTTCGCTCTCTCTTTCCCCAGAGATCCGACGCTGCGAAACATTTGTTGGAGCAGGCGGTTTCTGGCTGTTCTCGGCCTCCGGGTGCCCTCGCCAGGCCCCATGGGGCCGTCGAAGAACCGCCCCAGGACGAAAAGATGGGCCCTGGGGAAGTGGTCCAGACCTCCGGGTCCCACGCATTGGTTGTTGCTGGTTGTTCTCGGCGTCGCAATGGGAATCCGTAGCCATGTTCGAGAGCGGCACCCCGCGCAGTGTGGCGCAGCGGCGTCGCGAAGCGGGTCTGATAGATGGCGGCCACGCCGACAGACGTACGATGGCATTTGGAGGACGGCGTGGAGCACAACTTCTCGCCAGCCTGTCTCGAAGAAGGAAGAACGGCATAAATATAAACTTTTGGCGCTCCGTGCGGATTTCTCAGGGGCGGCGCTGGAGGCGCCGCCGGGGGGCCCAGCGCGGATCCGTGAAATCCGCGCGGAGCGCCAAAAGTTTATGTTTTTACAGTTCGTTCTTCTTTGCTGTCTGCAGCATGCTAAGGGGCTCTACGTGCTGGCGGCGCCTGGGCTCAGGCTGCCTGGCTGGGGTATGGACGACGCCGACATGATGCACAGGATCTGCGGCGCACCCGGGGGGGCAGTGAGAAGGAGAAGGCCTTCTCAGAAGGCGCCGGAGTCCCCTGGCCTTCCGAGAGGTTTTCGGGCTCCTCCCCGACGGCGCAGGAAACTTCCAAGAAGGCGCGGGGGCTTCTGGGAAGCCCCGTCGCCGGCTGAGAAGGCCTTCTCCTTCTCACTTCCCCCCCCTCGCTCGCCGCCGACAGGATGATGGCCCTCACCTCGTGGCTGGACCTGCTCAGCACCTGCAGGGTGAGGCACGTCCTCGTGCTGATGGCGCCCGAGGAGCTGCAGCGCCGGTACGCGGGCCTGGGAGACGGGAGCCTGGAGGCCACCTGCGAGGGCCAGGGCATCCCCCCGGCGGCTCAGAGATGAGGCCCCGAGGGATGGGGACCTCAGGATGGCCGGCGGCGCGCGAGGGGGTAGGGAAGTGAGAAGAAGAAGAAGAAGAAAAAGAAAAAGAAGACACATAATAATACTATAGAGGCCTTCTCAGAAGGCGGCGGGACTTGTGAGAAGCCCTCGCGCCTTCCGAGAGGTTCTATGCGTCTTCGGGGAAGGCTCAGAAACTTTTCAGAGGCCGGGGGGTCTTCCGAGCCTTCTCGGGAGGCCCTTTTCCTTCTCACTCCCCCCCAGGCTCGCCTCCGAGATAGGAAGGGATCCGAGAGGCGATCTACACTGTTTGAGGCACCTCGTCCTCAGGACCCCATTCCTCAGGACCTCTTGAAACGCGGCACGTGCCGTGGTCAAAACGTCCGTGCCGACACGCTGCGTGTTGGCTCGGCACGTGTAGGCCCACGCTTGGGCGAACGCATCCCGGCAGACCTGCGCTTTCAGTCTGCGCGTGGAGCTCCGTATCGATACGCGGTGCGCTGCGCGGTGCGTATCGGGACGGCTGAGCTCGGGACCTCACCTCTGGACCACCGGCATCTCCTTCCACCACGTCCCTCTGGCGGACGGCCGCCTGGGCGCGCCCGAGCTCGCCGCTGCCGTGGGTCACCTCCGGACGCTGCCGGCGCCGTCCGAGGAGGGCGTCGCCCTGGCGTGCCTGGACGGGCGCGCGGCGTCCCCGGCCGTGGCGGCCGCCTGGCTCGTCCTGGAGCTCGGGGGCAACGATAAGGGGGGGATGCGGTGAAGTCGGGCCTGTCCCTCTGCAGGAGGAGTTCAAAATTAGCCCAAAGAGTAGTGCGGGGACAACTTTTTGATCATTTTCGAACATATTTGTTTGACTATTTTATTGCTCGTCCAAAATCCCCCTGTAGGAGGACATGCCCGACCTAAGGATACAGTAGGTGCATGCGGCGATGGCGCGCCGACGAAGGCGTTCGAGGTTGAACTCCGCATGCTAGAACGTCGCGGAAGCACCGAGGGGCACAGTAGCGCCACAGGGTCTGACGGGGTTCCACCTTGAGCGATCGGGGCCGCGATCAGTTCAAGGTTGAATGATCGACGCGGCGTCAGAAACCTTTACGCGCGCCGACGCCGCACGAACCCACCGTAGACGTAGGGCGTAGGGGGAATGCGTCGACCCCCAAGCGCCCATTGATCGCCGATCAAGGCCCGACCCCAGCCTGCACAGGAGCGTGCGGGCTCACTCTCGGGGACCAATCGGCGAATCGCCGATTCCAGGTCGATGTTCCCCCCTCCGCCCCTGAGCCGGCCCCCCCTATCCACACAGACAACCGTCGAGTCGGGAGGAGGATGGGGCTGGGAGAGGTGATCAGATCATCGACGGCACCGCGTCTGCGGAAGGTGCTGAATTGCCCAGTCGTGCCCTGCATCCTCCCGACCATCTCCTCCGGACGCGACGATCGTTTCCCTCGCCTGCCAGTGCCCCTCAGGAGCGCGCGTGCTCCCCGCAGGACGCCCTCCAGCGGGTGCGAGCGGCCGCCGAGGCCGTGGGCTGCTCCCGCGCCGCGCCGGCCCCGCCCCGCAGCGCCGCGGAGGACGCGGGGCGCCCCGAGGCGGAGCCGCTGGAGGCGCTGCTCAGCGAGGCGGCGGCGCTGCTCGCGCCGTGAGGGCCCGCCCCGTCGGCGAGAAGGCCGGCTGCCACGGGCGGCGCGGCCGTCCTGTGCCAGCTTGCCCTCGGGCTTCGCGGGCAGTCTCCTTTCAGTGGCACGTAGGGGTGGCATGTCGCCAGAGTGACGTCAGGTGCGGGCGCAGCGGGGCCCCATACAGCGGAGGCCCGTGCCAAGAGGCACCCTGCTTGCCTCCAGGGTGCCCTTGGGCTCCGAGGGCTTCGCGATGGGAAGACGCTGCGTTCCCACGCCAA